ACTGACAGGCGGTCGAGAAAGCCAGATTCGTGAAGAGCAAATCGGGTTTCGTCGAAGTCGTGGATGCATCGACCATATCTTCACCTTGCGTCAGTTGTTCGAGCACCGTCATACATATTGGAGGCCCACTGTAGTCGTGTTTCACGACATCAAAGGTGCATTCCATTCGTTTGATCGATGCGCCCTTTGAAACTCTGTACTCAGAAAAGGTGTGCCCGAGAAATATGTAAATATTATCCGAGTATTATATGCGCGTAGCACGGGAAGAGTGAGGGCTTACGGCAAGTTGTCGTCGCCCTTTAATATCTCCAGCGGTGTGAGACAAGGATGCCCGTTGTCACCTTTCCTCTTGAAATTCGCTATTGATGAAGTCATGGAAATCAAGTTTGCAGGACATGACTTAGAACGACTTCTTGACTTGAAGTATGCAGACAACATTTCCCTCATCTGTGACAGCTCCCAGACGTACCAAGCTGCACTGGACAAATTGGCACTGGCTATCAGCCACTTCGGGCATTGCGTTGTACCATCGAAGTGCAAAGCTTTCCTCCAAGATTGGCCTGGACTGCCTCCTGCGCTGACCCTTGGCAGGGATTAGCTAGAAGTCGTTCAGAAATTCAACTACCTGGGAAGTTGTATCAGCGTACTTGGGATTGAAGATGAGATCACGAATCGTATATCAAAAGCTCGAGACGCTTTTGCCGGTCTTCGCCACCTATGGCGGCGGCGCGACATCACTCTCGCCCGAAAGGGCAGAGTGTACAATGCAGCGGTACGTTCGATCTTACTGTAAGGTTGTGAAACCTGGCCCCTTAGATCAGCCGACATAAAGAGGCTAGTTACGTTCGACCATCGGTGCCCCTGCAGTTTGGCTCACATCTGATGGGAACACTGCGTGAGCAACGTGCGTGATCGACGCTTGTTTCCGGCACAGGAAAAGGAACTGAACCGCTCAGCACCGTCATGTCACACTCCAGGCTCCGATGGCTAGGCCATGTGTTGTGCACGCCAGCGCACAGACTTCGCGCACAGACTTCCAGTAGTGTGCGCACGTTCCAGCACCCGATGCTGAGTGCTTTGCGCGCAGGCATACGATTGCATTGGTGGGCAATCGCACGCGAGGTGGAGGTTGTGCTTCGGAGATCTGATTGAGGGACTCCATCCGGAGCCTTTAGATCAATAGCTTGACTCACAAGGCAGTGGGTGGTTTGGAGGTTTCCTTGAGGGACTCCACTCGGAGCCTTTTACTCAATAGCTTGATCCACAAGGCAGTGGGGAGCAGATCCAGCTTGGGAATGTAACTGCAGAGGCAGATTGCGATCTGATTGAGACCCGTCACATGCAGCTTTTGAGGTTCTGGAACGAGTCATACATGTTTTGCGACCGTAGTAGGATACGCACCTGCGACCACGGTCAGACGCAGGAGAGGTTTGGCGGGTTTGTGCCAATTTGACCAGGGGCTGCCCTGGCTTGAGGCGGACAGTAGCAAACCATTGAACACCCGGAGTTGACCTCCCATCGTCAGACAAAGCGTGGCGCTCGTGCTCTAAGCCAATCGAGCTGTGAGCTTATAACCCGTAGACCTGTTGTCTCCCATGGCTAGGTTTTACGGGGAGAGAGCCATCGACCACTTCCTAACCTCCGAAGAGGATGGACCAGGATACTGGCAGGGCGCCCAAACCTGCCAGGAGAACGACTCGGGTCCTCAGTCAAAGGCTTCGATTAAATGTACACCAGAAAGTCAGCGGGTCTAGCAGATGGATTGGTGTCCTGGAGGGAGAAGTGCGTAACCCAACTCCCACCAAGCGGTCACCAGGTGTCCAGGACATGAGTCCATGGCACAACAGTTGCAGCAGTGGGTAGAACATCTGTGAGGATTCAGCCACCAACAGCGTCAGCGCAACATATATATATATATATATATATATATATATATATATATATATATATATATATACAGTCGATTCCGGTTAATAGGACCACCGGTTAATAGGACCAGCCGCTTATTCGGGCCAAATTCTGAAGAACCGAAACGAATCCTATTACGCTAGCCTAATTTTAGCCGCTTATTAGGACCGGAATTCCGCTTAATCGGACCAGACGATAGAAGGTGGCAGGTAACAGAGGTGTTAAAATCAAGTTCTGTGCCTGGATGTCTGGACTAAACCCACAGTTCATATGTCGGGCAAGAAAGCGTATCATTTAGTTACGGTAATCCGAGTTGGCCTTTGGATAAACTGAACTGTGGCAACCTTGATGCACATCTATCTAATTGGCTTCAGAACCGCCCGAAACTGACTGTAGTTTCCAATACTTGTAGGCGGAGCGAAGACATACATGCTTGTTCACATGTCGTTAACCGCTCGATCGATGTACCGCACGTCCATTGAGCCGAATGCCCTGAGCCCGCATTGCGGGCCTACTCTCGAGCACGGCAAGTGATCGCGGACACACAGGTCCGGCAAATCATAGGACAGCAGGTGGCTAGGTCAACCATAGAAATACCCGGGAGACAGACTCGAGTTCACCTCAGTGAACTGTGCGTGTCTTGTTGCATGTTAAGAAAATGGCACGACGGGACTTGACGTTAGCTGAGAAGATTCGTTTCCTAGATGAGATCAAGGAACAGAGACCAACCACTAGTCAGCGTCGATTGGTGGAAATTACCTGTTTGACAAAATCTACAATATCGCGCCTGATAAAACAAGAGAAAGATCTGCGAGAAGAATGGGCACAATGTGAAGGACGACGAGGTACTGCCCAAAAACGGAAAGGTGAAGGCAAGGATCCAGACGTCGATGAGGCCCTTACTGATTGGTTTGCCTCTGTTACTGGACGAGCCGTGCGAGTAAGTGGCCCAATGTTAAAGTACAAAACAGAAGAACTCGCTAAAATGCTGGGCCACGAAGATTTTATAGCTACGGACGGCTGGTTGTCTCGATGGAAATCTAGACATGATGTAAAATTTAAGAAAGCACATGGTGAGAAAGAAAGTGCCAATAGCGCTCGAGCTGAAGAATGGAAATCAACAAAACTACCAGAGCTTCTTGAAAAATTTCCAGCAGATGACATCTATAATGCTGATGAAACCGGGTTGTACCATAGGGCTACACCGGACGGCTCCTTAAGTTACAAACATGTCACTCTCTCTGGCTGCAAAAAAGCAATGGATCGCGTAACTGTCTTGTGCTGCTCAAACATGTCCGGAACAGACAAGAGGAAGTTGCTGGTTATAGGAAAATGTGCCAAGCCTCGCTGCTTTAAGGGACTCAGAATGGACAGTTTACCAGTTGTGTATCGTGCGAACAGAAAGGCATGGATGAGCTCTACACTTTTTAAAGAATGGGTGAAGGATTGGGACACAGAGCTACAGCGCCAGTCGAGAAAAGTGTTATTACTTCTCGACAATTGTGCAGCACATTCAAATTTGGATTTCTTGAAGAATATCCAGATGGAATTTCTGCCTCCCAAGACCACATCTTTGATACAGCCAATGGACATGGGCATCATAAAAAATTTGAGGACCTTTTATCGTCCAAGGTTGGTGAATTACATCCTTGAATCAATTGAGGAAGGCTTGCTGACCTCATCCTCGACGGTCGGAGAAATCAGTGCAAAGGTCAACATTTTGCAAGCCGTTACATTCGTGGCCGAAAGTTGGCGAAAAATGAGCAGTGCGACAATTCGGAACTGTTTTTCTCACTGTGGCTTTAAGCATATTGTCTCGGAGATGGATGTGGATATGGTGATTGTAAATGAAAATGACGGCGAGAATGTGGAGCTGAAACAAGTTGAAAATTACGAAGAATTTTTGTCAATCGACAACGAACTTCAACTCTATGATGGAAATGAAGAATGCGATGCTGCCATCGTTGCTCGAATAGCAGCGAAACACACGACAGCAACAGAAGACCATGGAAGTGATGAAGAGAACCCTAACGTGTTGATGCCAGTCACAAAACAGGATGCAAGGAAATGCATTGAAACATTGCACCGTTATTTCATGCAGGAAGGAAATGAAGGTAGTCCTATTACTGCGTTACATGTTTGTGGTGATTTTGTGCGAATGCAGTCTGTTAAAAGAATACGTCAAACCACACTGGATACGGTCTTCAAACGCTGAATGGAATTCGGTAATCCCTTTGTATAAAACTGTACTTCGCATGCTGAATATCTTGTAGGTCGTTACGAAGAATTTGTTTGTAAATTTCTTTTTCAGTGAACAAAGTTTGTTATCAAAGCAGTTCTTTTTTGTGTGTTTGCTATAAATATGTGCCGCCAATACAGGTCATAATAGCAGTTTCCTATGTTACGTATAGCACGTCCCATCTTGTTACATCGGGTAACTTCGGTTAATCGGACCAGCCGCTTAATAGGACCAAAATGGTCTGGTCCCAATGTGGTCCGATTAACCGGAATCGACTATATATATATATATATATATATATATATATATATATATATATATATACCAAGAGATATGGATCCACCGAAAGCCATGAAAACCAAAGGGAGGTAGAGTTGTCGTAAAAAGAAGGAAGAAGACAAGACAGAGAAGTCCGTGGTTTTGCCAATGGAGGATCACAAGATGTATGCCTACGTTTTCTCTGGCAGAACAGTCAAATAAATGCACTGTATATTTAACCAAGCATCGCCACAACAGTGCAAGGATAGTAGAGGCGAACCGACAACGGAGTAAGTCACGAGAACGTATTTCGAAGAAGCTCGTTTAATTAGCGAGTACGGCGACTATGTGGGTATAGCTTACGATACAGATAGCATGAACCGCGCTGCACATAGCAATGATATCGACCGATGGGGTGACTTTAAGCACTGAAATGAATTAAAAAAGTACTAAAAATTCATTGTACGCATGATCTCTGGAGATATGCGAATATATAAGTGCCCTACTAGCCTAAAATGTTGTGAACATGCCGTATCGACGGTATGAACGTTAACAAGATATTCCGGTAATAGAAGGCAAAACCGGATTCGCTTACCTCCTGGATGACAATTGGATGCGCGAAGTCGTGGCCCTCTGCGGCCGCGCCATGGATCAAACGTGATTGCGAGAAGTTAGACTGCGAAGAAGGTAGTCGAGCACTACCACCTTGTTGCTGTTGCTCCAACAGGTCACCCTCTCGTCCGTGTTTTACGGCTACCCGAACAACCATGGTTCTCAATTGATTGGTGAGCATACCATGATCTAGTATCATGGTCTTGGTGATGTTATGGGTCTTGTAAATACCGACCAATCGGTCGGCTAGCTCAAACATGTTGTTACGTAAGGATATAACGACAAACTGAGCATTCTTAGTTCGCTCCTTCAGGTAAGTACCGACGATAGACACGTTTTTGAAGTCCAATGCGGCATCAATTTCATCCATAACATACAACGGCGTTGGTTTATAGTGATGAAGAGCAAAAACCAACGCAAGACTAGAGAGAGTTTTTTCGCCACCGGACAAGTTTGCAATGTTCTTCCACGATTTTTTCGGGGGACGAACGCTGAACACGATACCCTCAGAGAAGGGATCGAGCGAATCGATCAGCTCCAGTTCAGCGTCACCACCTATCAAAATAAACGCAAGTAGAAAAAGGTGATAAGCTTAAATGGATAAAAAAAGCTAGCGAAATGGCAATAGACAAACGTGTGAACAACTCGAAGTGACAAGGTAGGCGATGGGAGTGATCATTGTTGAAGCACTTGATAAATCAGACAGGATAAACACGCTTTTGATAACATGATTTTGACTAAGGTTGGTAGGAATAAGAATTAGAAACAGAGGGTCCAGATACGTCAAGCCAAGCCAAAGAAATGAAAATGGAAATGGGTGAGAGAAGCAATGGCAAAAAGCATCCGCTCGATGGTGGGATGCGTCTACGTGGATTAATCCTGGACTTTGTTTATCCCCATGTCAAAATCTTAAAAAAAAACAAAGACGAAGTAATGCACACAATAGGAAACAGCAACTGTGCGTCCCATTACTGCAAGGAAGCACTATGCGTGAGCATTGTGATATAAACAGCGCATCCAGATGACAGAGACCAAGGTGTAGTTGCCCGTGGAATGCGGTGTTGTGATGGAATTTCCAATGAAAGGGAGGGGGAACAAAAGCAACTGACACTTTTACAGAAGACTTGGATCACACTCACGTCTATCAATGACGATCCCGGTTGAAGTGGATTCTAACTTGCAGATATCATTCACTGGAACATTTGGCGCGTTGGGTAACAACTTATCATTGGCAATCGTCACATAACTTGTCAAATCGCAAACGTAGGGGGGCAGTAAGCATGATGATTTAAGATCATGTGCTACATGGGCTCCAACCTTGACTTCAGTGCTGACCAGTATCAACGAAGAGAAGTCGGGGCACATAATTGAGAAATTGTCACGGAATGGAACGCCAATGTTGCCTAGATCCTAAAGTCACGTCAACCTGGCAGCAAGGCGGGGATGTTTTCCTTTTTGTGGAACATTATTTTTACATTATCTACCAGATATATCAGTTATGCAAGAAAAAAGTGACAAATTCGTTGTTTAAATAACTTTCATTTAGATTAATCGACCATGCCCACGTTTTGAATACAAACGCTGAGGATATGGCGGACACAAAATGTTGCATCAACTGAAACGAGCTACGAAAAAAAAACTTTTAATAAAACTGTCCTTTGGAATAGACGCAAATCCCGAAGATTCAGTTCAGTATAATGAAATCGTTGCTCGACCGCGTTATGACAGTGCACCCTAGTCATTTTTCTACTCATTAGTAAACTTTTAGACTTTTGATGTCAGTTTAGTAAATCTACAGTCAAGGATGCAAAATTCTGAAAGTGTACCCGTTTGGATACATAAAGCTTATGCTGGCTGGGTGAAAATTGAATTTCACCTGTTTGGATCCTACTAGATAACTGCTTGGAGGTCACCAAGCGGGCTGTGCTGACGTGGTAGAAAGGTTTTTATGCTAAGCATTAGTGATTCTGAGATAAGCGTATGATTATAGCAAGAAGATGAATGGAAAAAATAAATGCAGCTGTTGCAGATGAAAATTGGGTTATTATTCCCGGAAATTGGCGAATCCCGGGTTGACCTGAATACTCCTTGAAATTGAAACGATTTGCAAACTAATCACGAGAGTATAAAGGCGACAGCACGTGGTGACCAATTACAAGTTTACACAAACAGGGACCGAGATAGGAAACATGTTGCGGAGGTTGAATGCAGGAATCGGGCTAAAAAAAATCACAAATCTACTGAGCCAAATGAAAGGGTATGATGCCTCAGGTAACAAATGTGAAGGTGAGAAAATGCACAATGTGGACACCGAGAAGGATAAGGCACCGAAGGATTGGACAATGAGAACAGCAAATTAAAAGGACAGCGTTCGTGGGTGTGCAATTTTGGAATTAATAGTTCATTCGACTCAACTGAGATATCAAATCATGATTCGAGAAGAAAACAGCGGTTGACTGAGCTGTTGTAACCTACACAGAAATATAAGTAACAAAAAGTGCAAGAGTATTGCGCTCGAATGAAATGGAAGCGAAGAAATAAGCGACAGAAAGGACCACCTGTAATCGGAGATAAAGCGACACACGGTCACTGACTCAATAACTACGCAAGGCCAGACAGCTGTTTTGACTGGGTGTGCCATTTAGTCGGTGGGGCAGAGTTTCCTCGCTATGCGCAAGCACCGGAGCACCCAAGATAGCGGTTTTGAGAACCGCCAGGTTGCAAATAGTAGACATATTTTTGAAAAATACGAGCTAAATGTGTTCGAAAACAACGCACTCCACGACGCGTTTCGACCGCATTTGGTCTCATCAGGTAGAGATAGGAGGCCTCGAACCCGGAGCCATTAAGGTGGTTGTCGAAACCACTACCCACAGAGTTAAGTCTGGCAACGCTGAACACTACGGTTAATGACTGTTTAGAGGAGTCCTCTTGGAGTACCCGCTGTGCAGTTTAAGTTACATAGGCACTCCGCTGCAAATTCGCATATGTTACCAATCATAAACAGACAGAGCCCGGTGGTAGTCACTCGGGTGGCATATGGTCGCTACGGAAAACAAGTAGTTTGCGATACTTTCAACTCACATTGATCGGAGCTCTTGCCTGTGTACGGTGGAACAGTGGAACAACGGATTCAGTACAGGTAAAAGTCAGACGTTTAACAAGTCACGTGAGAGAAATAAAAAATGGTGAGAAAATAACGCGTGTAGCCAGAATAAATGTAAGATTCCCTACACGAATATTGTTGTTACTTTATTTTATGTAATGTGCAAGTGGAACAGCGAAGCATAAACTTGCTTTTTAAATTCGAACAACGAAAGAACTAACCTCAACACAGACACCTAGAACCTACCGACGCAAATCGCCGTCGAGAATATGCCGACGTTAAGTAAGACGAAGAAATGCTTGGTAGGTACCTAAAAGTAACCGCGATCGCCAAGTCGCGATGATGTAAAGGAGAGTGATTCCACTGTGGATTTTCGTGTAACAATAAACAGTGTAGGGAATTCCATCTTGCTGTCAGCGATGGCACAGATTCATAATAGTGGTTTTACCCACCAAAGCACATGAGTTAGAGAGATAAGGTGTATGACGGGAGTGTCCAATCACTGTACAAATGGATAAGAGAAACAAGCCAGACAACCAATGGGAGGCGAGTCCGAGGGAACTATTCATTGGACGCGAAGAGGCTGATGTTCCTGTATACTACCGTTTCTCGTAGCTTAGTTAACTTCGCCGGATTAAAAATGTCGTTGAATGGAGGCGTTCGGAAAGCCAAGCATGCAGTAATTGTTGGATAAACGCTTATCTCGACAGGATGTACATGCTTGCTTGTGCTAGATACGTGGTTAAGCACGGCACACCTACCTTGCGTAATCATTTGGTACATTTCTTTCAGCTTAGCAGTGATGGTGTGGAAGCCGTCCAAGAACTCTGACAAACGTTTGGTTTTAGCGTCCTCCATCTGTTTCCGTTGGTCGCTGAGCACAGCAGTGACGTGGTTTAGTTCACCGACACGTGTCAAGTAAGTCTCTGCTTTGCGACGGAACTCCTCGATTGCAGCCATGTTGGGAGCCATACCCTGAATACGTTCCTCCAGACCTCGCATTTCTTGCGAATCCACATGCAGACCTGGAGAATAGATGTGCCAAAGTAAAGACAACAGACAATAGGTACAGTATTCTGTCTAAAACTCCTAGTAGGACTAGTGCAATCTTCGAATCAACATCAGTCCAAAGAGAAATGGTGGAAGATACGCCAAAAAAAACTTCAGAAAGGCGCTTACATGTATCGGTGTGTCCTGAAGATGAAAGCATGAGACCACACAGGAAAAGCGAGCAAAACCAACAAAAGTGGAGAGTGCTCCTGATCGCGACTCTTAAGCAGATTAGAAGGGACCTCAACTTAGACGAAAGAACCATGGTGAGACGATTCCGAGTTGCCAACGAGCGACGGGCAATGACTACGGTGAAAACGAAACCGCATGGGAAAAATCTGACCTGACGACGTTGAGACGCAGCTGGTGAGACACATGTCTGAAAAGTAGAAAGCTGAGTATCCGATTCGGTTAGGTTAACCAATCACGAGAATAGGTGTGGACCCAGCTGCTGTGATCCCCGTGACAGTGAAAGTTAACAAGGATAGTGGGAGTGAAACAATAAACAAATAAAAAATATGATTGAAATTGCCAGAAAGCAGTGAACGCTAGTTATCCAGTGCGAAGAAAAATTTGAAGCGACAGCTTGAATGCAAAGTGCCACTTGTTAAGTGAATCTGTCATGTCGATTAAAGTCACTAATATGGTTCAGTACGAAGCACCCCTGCATATGCATGATTTATGGTGGTGGAATCACGTTCAGAACAACGATCATAGGCTGAAAATAAAGATAGGAAGCTCAGGTTTAGATTTGTTCGCCGAGCCGAACTATGTCGTTGCAGAGCCTTTATGGACAATTGAGGTGACTTCGTCAGTACGTACTAAGCAGAAATAGACCGATGAGAGTGAGGTTTGAATTGTTCACTTCGATTCACGTCGCGTGACCATTGCTAGTTGCAGTTCGATCGCCGTCTCTTTTAGACTCATGTGATGGATGACGCGCCTTAACTTCCTTTTTGCACCTGATGGTAGATCGGGTCTAAGTCAATACGTAGGTGTAATGAGTTCTCCGTAGAGAACTATGCTTCGAGAAATTCTCTTCCTCTTCTTGTCTCTCCCTGCGTTAGGACCTCCATCTTCTCCCAATCAAACATGTGCCCTTCTTCGTCAACGTGTGTCGAGACCAATGATGATGATAATGTTTCGACAGGTTCGCTTGTGTTCTTGTAACCTTGTAGATAACTTTCGCCCTGTTTGGCCCACATAGTGCTTATCACAATTTTTACACTGTACCCTGTAGACAATATCCTGACGTTCATGTACTCCCGTCTTCCAATTCGGTCTAGATATGGTTGCTTTCAGAGTAGCGGTTGGTATGTGAGCTAACAGACAAACCGAGCTATAAGTATTCCGCTTTACTGTTAACATAAGCAGCTGTCCATATATGGCCAGAAGAGGGGACATATGTGACAGAAGAAATTGGAATGGACAATTTTAATCGGACAAAAATGGACACACGTCAGTTTTGCATGATCAGACGTGTTGAAGAAGAGATTATCACCTTACCCTTTAAATGCCGATGAAAGGGGATCAGATAACTACTTGTAAACCAGTTGTACTAAGGAATGGCGTGTTTGGAACTGGACACACTGATATGGAACAAATGTACTTGAGAATGGGAAGTTTAGAGAAAAGTTGTGGGAGTTGACTCCATGTCGCAGAAATAATTCTTTCGGAATGCACTGGCTGGATCAAACTTTTTCATGGCACCCGGTTTGTGGAATACGCGGCCAATGTTTATGAACGCAGTGTAGTTAGATTTCCCTCAATACTTCAGAGGAGGGTCCCGACACACTATTGTCTTAACTTACAAGTCGTAGTCACCCCGATCCGCAAAATTATGCGGACAGCTGAGCGGCAGATGGTAATTACACCGATCAAGTCAGATCGGATGTATCAGTCGGCCTTAAGGATCACAAGCCTGCCTTGTAATCTGAGGGCGCGGTTTCGAGTATGCGTAGGACCCGGGTGGCTCTCAGAGTAGATCCTTAAGCCACGTGTAACTGGTGGTGGTTGCGCGGCAGCGAAACGTCAGTACTGCGTACCGGCGGTTTGTATAGACGCCAACAAATGTCTATTTGATTTGTAGTATGTCACAATAATAGACAGAACAAGTAACCAGAAATCATATGAGTTCATCAAAGCTTGGCATTCGGGGCATAGCTCAATGAGTTGACGCTTGGGGTCATAGGGTCAAACTGACGAGTTGCCTCAGGTAAACGTAACCGACAAAATTCGCTTGAAGGCTTGAATGACACACGTTTCCATCGGGATCAAATGAAAACAAGTCGGGAAGTAGATAACGGCATCTTGTTGCTGAGATGCTCCAGCCAATCGAATGCAAAGAGAACAAAATATTCATCCGCGTACGGCAGCAGCTGCCTATGACAGTCTTTAGCAAACCGATCTGTTTGTTCATTCCAAACTACCGGGAATCGACTGAGGACCGCGGATGGTTCATCATCGTCAACCCCCACTATTTCCAAAAGCCGTTTAATCATAGTTACTGCGTTTTTGATTTGCAAAACACGTTTCTTATTGTCTAGTAACTGTTCGTTCGTTAACTCCGCAAAGTTCAACGCTGAAAGGACCGATAGTACCAACGCTACAGATACTCTTACCGCAAACCTGTGTCCCAGAAGATGTAACCGCATAGTCATCAACAAGAAGAAAATATTCGACTTTCCGAGTTTCATCCTCCACTTCGCATGGTATCCATCTTGAAGAGATGGTTCAGCACAAGAGGCGATTACTTTCGATTGAGATTCGAACCGTCATAGACCCATTGAGCAGCACTGGTGCTTCGAATGATGTACATCACTTCAAATGAAGAAACAGGACTAAGTCCCTGAACTGAAACGATACCAGAGGTTTGTGACGGTGGAAGACCATCATGACTTACAAAGTAGCCACAATAAGCGCGATTCATACTGCCCTGCCATGCAAAATACGAACATTGTAGAAAAAAAATGAAAAGTGGTATCGACAGTACGTCGTACCGACGCTACGATGCCGCGCAGCCACCACCAGTTGCACGTGGGTTAAGAGTACTGTAAGGGTCGCCCGGTCTCTAGGTAGGCTCGAACCCGTGCCCTCAAACTACAAGGCAGTCTTGTGATCTGTAAGGCTACTGGCTACGTTGTAGAGGACAAGTGTCCCCCGAGCGACGACTTTCCACAAGAGCAGCTGTGTACGACAACATTTAGAAGCTCTTATGGTGGCTGCTTTGAACACTGAATGGGAGCAGCAAAAAGAGATATCTCTGAGTAGCTGCATCTAATATCACTCAGGTACAAAGACCCGTGATGCTGGAGTGCGTCCGATATAGTTCATATTGGTAAAGTCTTTGTCCAGGAATTTCTTGAATTCCGAGACAGGCTTTGACTTAACTACATGCTGCGGCAGATTGTTCCATACGGAACGAGCACGACTGCGTCAAAACGTTTTACTCAGTACACCCGCAAACCATGCCACTGCAACGCGCGACCACCACGCGACTGGTCGCGCGTGGGCTGGTTAAACTGCGAACTCGCCCGCACCTCGCGGCAAATTCGAATCGGCGGTGGTTATAGCACTATCAAATGCAGGTGCGCGCGTGCAGCCAGCAACCGGTCGAGTAAAGCATACGTTCGACTAGCTGTTAGATTGCAAACTACTATATAACCCAGACAAAAATAAAAATGTGTATACCTACTTGTGAGCTAAAAAGCCCCCTGTATTGCTGCACCTGGAATGTACGGTTCCTATTTAACGGCAAATACTACAGGCAGAAGGACGGCGTGGCCATGGGATCTCCCCTGGGTCCACTGCTGGCGGATATCTTCATGGCCAAGTTGGAGAGAACAAAATTGCAGGCGGATATAGTCACTTTTAACCACTATTATCGGTACATGGACGATATATTCGTTGTGGTGGATGAGCACGTTAACCTAGATGAAATTCTTAAACGTTTTAACAGAGTCCATGCAGCACTGCATTTTACTTGTGAAAAAGAAACCGAAGATCAGCTGCCGTAACTTGATGTTCTGTTAACTAGGAGACCAGACGGCTCAAACCAAACAGCAGGTCTACAGAAAGCCAACATGGATTGGCCAGTATGAGAATTTCCATACCTTCATCCCTCTGAGATAGAAGCGCAACTATCTTAGCAATAAAGCACGTCGAATCTGCTCGAAAAACACTCTAAATGCGGTACTGACGTTTATACAGGATGTGTTACGCGAAAATGGATACCCCGACAGATTTGTTTTAAGAAACCTTGGGGGAAAGCCTAAACAAGCGCCAGTGTTAAAAACGGCAAAGAAAGAGTTATTCATACGACTACCTTTCGAAGGGGACGCTGTTACTGAGCGTCTAACCCGAAGTCTTTCTGGCGCAATTAAGTCGAGCTTCGCAGCAGCTACGCTAAAGTGCGTCTTTTCGAGTGAACCACTCGTCCGTTCACGAAACAAGGATAGGTTGCCCATGCTGACCGCCTTAATGGGTATTTATCAGTTCGTGCAACGTATATCGGTCGAATGACGCGGCACTTGTCCAAACGCGTGAATGAACATTGCCCACGTTGGTTGTATCAAGGTGGCACCGGGGCCAGCAGCAGTTCCATTCTGGCTCATAGTGTCGACAGTGGGCATCAAGTGGATCTAAAGCGTGTTTTAGAGTTGTTTACAAGGTTCCACCGCACCGATCGAAAGGTCAACCCCTTCGTACACTTGCGACGGCCGAAGCAATTTGCATTCGATTATTTCAACCGTCTTTATGCTCGCAAAAAAAGTCAGTCCAGGCTCTACAGCTTCCCTGGACTGAGAAAACGGGGGATACTGAGGTCAACGAAATGAGGTCAAACTTCGTAACATGTAATCAACTTGCTTCGATTTATCGTCTAGGTTACTTGCACGAACTGGTCGATGTTACTCTTTCCATTGTTAGCCCTATACATGATTGTACTGGTCTGATGATGAATCATTGAAAGCAATTGCTCACCAAACGGTCTTCTTGTTCTCATTTACTTTAAGAAAGACAACCATGGGCAGTATTGGCAAGTGTAGCAGTGGTGCAACCGGTCATGGACACAAAAGAGAGAGAGGAAATATCCGGTACTAGTGTCATCGAAAGACCGCAGAGTTGGCGGTCGTACACTGCATGAAACACTGTACCGGAAAAGATAGTTACGCACGCATATGACAGAAAAATATGCATTGTAACGGAAAAGATAAGTGATCGTTGGTTTCTACTATTTCCGGTAGGCGAGTCAAACTTTGCATCCAGATTGATTTCTAGTTCGCGTATGATATGACTGTGATATCGGACAGTCGACAGAGAAATTGTATAAAAGGGCTCAGAATACCTTGCAATTCCTCCTCAGAATATGAGGGCAAATTGGTGGATTTCCGCCGCGTATCATCTGGGGATTTGACATCTGGAACTGAATCTGGCTGCGAGGAAACGGGCTCCAGAGATTCACGAGCAGGCACCATTTGGGATTCCTCGTCATCTTCATCATCAACACGGTGTAGTCGGAGGGCACGAAGCTCACGTTGCCACGACCGCGCTTTCGAAACGGCCTGGGTCAACTCCGACTCCAACTGTGCGATACTGCGTTTCACGGAGGCTTCGGTCTTCTGCATCGAGGCTAGAGAAGTCTCAAGCTCTGTCAATTTTACCTGAATTTCCTCCTTGGATTGTTGTAGACTCGCGACCTGAGTGCACGTGAACAGACGACAAGTGAGTAAGTCAAATGTAGTCACAGGATGAAAAAGGACATGTATTAGCATAATGTAGCAACATCCCAAAAAAGACCTTGAGTAGAAGAAGGTAGCAGCGACTAGTTGGCACGTCGTACCGACGCTCCGCTGCCATGGGACCACTACCAGTCGCGTTCTGGCTGGGTGCAATGCTATGCTGTCTAAATCTACGCAGATTCGAACCGGTGACCTGTGGGTTACAGAGCACACGCCTCATCCATTTGGCCACCGGCCGATTAAAGTAGAAGAGCAAGTATAAGAAAGCAAAAAAAGTTGGCGACAAATACAACAACAAGAAAATTCGAAGAAACAGGGGAAGAGCATAAGTAGAAATTCCTAAGGGTGATGTGTTGCAACGCTGCGCTCTCCCCTGTCCTCTGCGCTCCAATCCAGCCGGGGAAGAAAACAGAACACCGAAGCCTGCTAGACCGAAGTATTTTAGGAACAGAAGACGGTTAATGTTATAGGTCACCTGCTATCATCTCCGGCTGCACGTTCTGAGCTGACTCACGCCACTTGCCTGGACAGATTCGAAACCTGCTAGCGGTCCGCACTGGCCAACTGTAATGGCGCTCACTCACGCCTCCTGTATCATGTAGACGGACTGATTTCATCAGCTTCCCGTCTGACTTAGCCGTGCCACCGGCTGTGTAGCTACCGGCCGCGTAACAAACCGTGTCGTGATAACAGACGTCTTGAAACCGTGTGACCTACGAATAAAAATGCTGGCGTACGATTTCAGTATACAGTATCGATCTAGGCAAGAAATCGGCCAAGAGAATGCTGTACCTCGTCTCATCAATTCGCACCCAAAAAAGAACGATGACTGTGTGATCGCAGCCATCAAGTTCGAGTTAGAAGTCCAGCGAATCCTAACCGATAAGGTAAGAAGATTACCAGTGACAGCCAATACTTCGAGCAGAGACTTTCTGAGACAGAACCCTAGAGAAAGTGATGCATTACGTGCAAACAGGTTGGTCAAAACGTAGTATCCCTGCTGACTTGTGGTCTTTCTTCAACCGACGTGGGTCATTGTCCGCCGTGGACAATTGTTTGATGTTTCGAGACCGGGTGATGGTGCCAAAGAAATTGCATAGGCAAGTCTTACAGAAGCTTCATAGCTGCCATCCAGGTAACAACCGTATGAAAGCCTTGGCAAGCAGCATTGTTTATTGGCCCGGAATGGATTCAGAAATAGAACAATTCGGTCAAAAATGTGAACCCTGTCAATTGGCGGCGAAGGGTTTTCCTAATTGCCCCTGGCAACCTTGGTCCAAAGCAGAGAAGCCATGAAAGCGAATCCACTTAGATTTCACAGGACCAATCGCCGGTCAATCCTATGTTATTTGAATGGGCTCTTCCTCCAAGTGGCCCGATTTGATTCCGATACAAAGTACAACTGCCCAGTACACGATCAAGGAGTTGGATAAGCTGTTCCAGTATTTCGGCCTGCCAGTGATAATAGTGACAGACAACGGTACACAATTCACTTCAAGTTCCTTTCGCGAGTGATGCAAAAAGAAGAGTTCATCAGATGTTCTCACCATACCATCATCCGCAATCAAACGGACAAGCGGAACGGTTCGTGGATACCTTCATACGTGCTCTTTGTAAAGTGGGACAAAACAAGATGGCAAAGGATGCAATCCAGTCTTTTCTGTGAATGTATGGAATGCAGCAAACCCCAAACGCTCCAGATGGAAGAATCCCTGTCGAAATTTTATTTGGACGAAAGATCCGGACATTGTTCGATAACCTTGTGCCAAGCAGTAGAGGAAAACCTGACAGACAGGCTTCGTCGTTACAAAACTGGTGACATGGCGCTTGCGCGAGACTTCCAAGGACCCAGGAGGTGGTCAACAGGAAGAGTGATCCGCAGAAAGGCCAAGTCATTTACGAGCTAATGGTAGGAAATGAGAAATGGGTCAGGCACGCCAATCAGCTGAGGCCGAATCACGGCAAGACTCAAAGTTCCTCGGTACCACCAACCTTACCGTGGGACATTCTGCAAGACATGTTTGGTTTGGAGGAGAAAGCTGAGCGGCTAAGTGGATCACAACAGAACCCGCAAGCATCAGCTGATACACAATGCAGGCCGATCCGAAAGCGGAGACGAGCACAATGGTTACAAGTTGATCCCAAAGCGAAAACCTATGAACAAAGTTGAGTTCGAACGGTACGCTGGCATACTCAATAGGTAAGGGGAGGTAACAGAAACGTAAGTAGAGCACGTGTGCTGTCTGCTACAAGCGAAAGTCATCAGCAGGGGCGTGGTACGACCTTTGACCTTTCCGCCGAAATGGGGAATCGAGTGCGATTTGGTCGGCCAGCAAATACAAGCCCGCGTCAAAGGAATCAAACTATTCCGTTAATATGGTAAACCCGTGGAGCGGAATTCACTCACAATGGCTGAAAACCAGACGTAGAAGAGTGAGTGACCTTGACCATGTTTCGTTTACCAATAAAAAGAGTTGATCTATCTTGTAGTGATACTCTCTGTCTACCGAGCTCTAGCCCTCTGTATTCCATCGGTTGGCTGGGCGCATGACAGAGCCGTCAGACAGTCGCAGTCTCACAGGGCAGCAAAACAGCAGTACAACACGTTCTCAGGTTGTGTGCTCCGATACGGACGTAAGAGCCTCATTTAACGAAAAAGGCCGCAAGATACCCAAATCTCCGACCCGAAATTGAATTTGCACTACATTATTAATCGAGAGGCCCAATCGGAACTGATACACTTGTGTACATCGCAATGAGGCTGGACCTTAGCGTGGCGCGATGGTTTGTGTGCCACAGTGATCCATTGAGCTACGTTGGGTGGTGCATTTTTGCGCATTCAGAGCCACTCATATCAGATTGGTCAATTTTTACAAGACAAACAAACACAGCCTACTGGTCCTCAAGGTTGTGGGTTAAATTAAGGATGCCTCCTTATTAATTAAAACGTACTCCTTGTAGCCCAACGCCAAACCCGCAGCCTTGCGGTAAGGTTATTGAACCAAACACTTTCGATGAGAACTCTAATTGTTCTCCTGTCTAGGCCTGGGCAACCTGATAGTATCCTGCCCACGCAACTCTAGGAAGCTTCCGTTAAACAATTTGCTGATGCTCTGGCTACCGCAGAAGAGAATCAACGGTGCCCTATCCACTGCATCGAGCAGGGTGGATGGGGGTCTGGATGCCACTGCTCAAGCTTACCCTTAGGCTTTTTCACTCTTATCGTCCCATTCTAGGTTCACTTTTATCCCCCTACTTTCAACCCCTCCCCCAATTCTTGGCCATCCCCACCTTGCTTTGATAGGTTTTACCTTCTAGTTTCAACTCACATGTGAACGCGGAGCGTCATTCCTGTCCTGTCGACAAGACCATGTCCAACCAAGCAGCCAAGTCCAGTTCATCGACTTCCATTTGGAGCCCTCGATCCTCCTTCAGATTGGCATGCATCAATGTTCGCACATTGCTACAGATCGGTCAACAGACAGCACTTACCCGAACATTAGTGAACCTCTCTCTCCCGCCTGCAAGACTCGAGTTCAGTGCGCACTTTGCAATCCCCATCAGATGACAGTAGCAGCACTTTCTCATTACGCCTATCCGGTGAGGATGCAGCTTCAAGCACCGGCCAAACTGGTGTTGGCATTGCCCTGAGTACCCGGGATGAAGCTGCTAAGGTTGATTGCATCCCAATCAGTAGCCGGATGTGTGCGATCTGATTGGCTGGCTCGTTCAAAGCTTCGGATTTGCGCGGGACCAACAGGTGTCTATTCGTCATCGCTGCCTCCACACCCATAAACTCTAGAGATGATTCGGTAAAAGAAGAATTCTACCGCCAACTGAACGAGCACCTTCGAAATAGAAGAAGCTCAGACACTACAGTGTTGGCTGGTGATCTGAATGCTCAAGTTGGAAAATTATTCCCTAATGAACTGCATCAGGGCGGCCAACATGGTGTAGGCTCCAGTAATGATAACGGTGAACGGTTATTTCATTTGTGTGGACATGCACGCTTATTTCTTGCGAGCATTAACTTCCGACACAGCACCCACCGGAAGCTGACTTGGCGATAACCAGCCTCGAAACAGCCTTGGACGCAAATCGACTACATTGCGGTAAATGACCGTTGGAGAGGCTGCATCCAGAACTGTCACTCGATTTGGAGCACATGTATGGACACAAATCATGCACTTGTGTGTGCTAACATGCAGGTGCGTTTTGGCGGACGCCCACGATGACGCTGTGAGCGCATTAACACCAGCCAACTGACAAAGTCAGCTATTCTGAATACATATCAAAGTACGCTGACATGCGAGTTGAGTAAGCGCTCACTGGAGACAATTGATGGTCACTGGTCACATGTTCGCCAGACCTTACTAGCAGCAGGCAAATCCGCATGTGGTATGTCTAATCGCCAACATGGATATTGGGTCTCTTCGCGGTCTCTGGAACTTATCGATGCTCGCCGGCATATTCCGGCTAGAAGCGAACACAATGAGATTCGCAGAAAACTTTGGGAAAAACTCCGTGCTAGCATGAAGAGAGACCGAAAATCCTGGTGACCTCATCGTGCATCAGAGATTAAAATGGCTGCTGCAGTTAGTAAGCATCGTAGGTCATCATCATCATCATCATACACGTTTGCTAAAGGTGGGGAATATCTCAGCTACTGTGCCGCAATACACAGAAAAAATGAGAAAAAAAATGTAACTGGTGCAAGCCTGCTGAGCTACCGGTAACGGATGGGCATCGTTCCGTTAAGCTACCAGCCGGCTACTGTGAATCAAAAAAAATTATGCGAAATAATATAAAGCTAAATAATGAGATGGTGGTTGGAGGGGGAGGCTAAGAGGGATGGGGTGGGACAAAGAAACTCACAGCACGAACGCCACTGAGATCGGCTCCTTGCCATATCAGCAAGTGTGTCCAACCAAACGTGTTCATCGTCTTTCGGACCCCAACCAGGGAGCCGAGAAGCTCCAAACGAGGACAGCTCAGAAGTGAGGGCCTTCATTCCTCTGGACCAAGTCATCGCT